CGCCTCGTCCAATTCTTTCCTCATGTTTAATATATCATACTCCAAATCATCTTTCTCGCGATTAGTTCTGTTCAATTGCTCCTGAAGATCTCTCAACGTATCGTTACTCCCCGTCTCTGAATTGCTTTCACGCCACTGCGAGATCTCCATTTCTAATTGTTCATTCCTCCGAGATAATTCCTCGTTTTCCTTTTGAATCTCATCCTTCGTGCCTCGAATTTGCGCCAACGTATTTTCTAATTGCCTCGTGTTAGATGTGGACGTTTTTAATTCTCGCCTCGTATTCTCAAGATCGTGTTTCAACTCCTCGATGAATTCGATATTTTCGTCCAAATCTTTGCACTTCTCCAACGACATCCTCAATTGCTCCTGCATCTCCTTCTCCGTGCCCTCCAACAGATCTACCTTTCTTCGTAACTCGTCGTTCTCGTCCAACGTCACGTGCAACTTTCGATTCAGGCTTTCCATCGTGTTGAACGTGTCTTCGATATCCTCCGGAATATTTTCCAATTTTCCTTGTTTCCTAGTTTGAGACGTGGTCGTCGCGCTCCCTTGAGCCTTTAATCGGGTTTCGTTCGGGCCGACACCGCGTATAACAGCGTTTTTCTTTCGCAACGAGTTCTTCTTACGCAGCACGGAGTTCTCCGCTTGAAGATGTTTCACTTCCTCGTTCAACGATTCGATTTCCGATTCCAATGAGACGACTCGTTCCTCATTCGCCTCAGGTATGGGCGGTAAATTTAATTTTAAATCTTCGATCTCCTGCAACAGCGTGTCGATGTGAGTCTGTTTAATGTTACACTCCATTTGCAGGTCATCCTTCATTTCCACGACTCCTTTCAATTCTCTGTTCAACTCTGATACCCATTTCTCAACCACATCTTTCTTCCATTTCACGTCTATGTACTCTTTCGCCAGGGTCTCGAAAATCGACTCGTCTGGTTCAATCTCAACGAAAGAACTCTTCAAAATATTCTTCACCTTCTTGGTCAATTCATTCAAGTCAATTCTCTTGTCCCGCACCTCGATCGTTTCTGCACTCTTCTCCATTTCTGGATGATCATTTGTCTGGATACATTTATCTACATATTCTAAACTATTAGTTTGCACGAAACATGGAACAGTTTCTGTTCGTATCGTGCTCGATTCCTTAAGTTTACCTTCCAATTGGACGACCTTATCTTGAGCCTGATTGTAGTCTACGTAAAGCTGTTCGTAAGCGTTTTGAAGGCACTGATGTTTCTTTTCAACCTCCTCCTTGAGAGATAACAGTTTCTCTACGGAATGAACGGAAAGATAATTAATTATTAGTCTTTCTATTATACATTATATCTGTTATAATCAATCACTTAAATCGATATACTGTATTAATTCACAAATCAAATCTATATTAATTGATAGATCAAAATTAATGCAATGCATTTGTATAAAAATTATTAAATTTAAAATTTGCATCTTGGAAAAAAATATCTAAATATCATAATGTAAAATTGAAGAATTAAAAATAAAAAAGTTAAACTAATGAAATTTATCAAAAAAAAAAAAAAAAAATCATTTGATCTTTGAAAAAGTAGATATTATGTATGTATTAAAATTAAGGAAAATTTCCATAAAATATAATTGTGAATGACTTATATCATTACCTATCGATTCCTCGTGTTGCTGATCGAGTTCCTCGACACTTGTGAACAATCTTTTATTCTCTTCTTGAAGCTCCTCGATTTTCTTGTATAATTCCATTTCCCTGTTGCTCGAGGCCTCGATAAATCCATCGTGTCTCACGTGATTCTCCGAGTTCACGCTGAAATTAGGCTTCAACGGAACGGATTCGTGGGTGACAGTGCTCGGTCTCTTAAACTTTTCGTCGAAGTCGGATTTCTCTTGTTTATTAGCCTCGCTGTATTTCTCGTTTTCGGTTTCCAGCGCTTTTAGCGCACCTCGAACTAAATCCAGCTTCTCGAGAGAGTTCAATTTGGACAGCACCGTGCGGAAATCGTTGATCAACGCTGTTTCATCCGATTGCATGCGTTTCGTATTCCTCTCAGCTTCCCGACTCTAATCAACACACGATATTACGATGTTCATTTGATCAAGAATATTTTTTTTTTCTTATCAAAAAAATATGATTATTTCTTTTTTATCGATTGAAATCTATTCCATATTGGACGAAATATTTATAAGAATAGATTGATCGATCGAGGAAAAGAATAGAGGATTTTTGATTATAAAAAGTCTGTGTAACGTAATATCAATTCGTGTCTAAAAAAAGGTATTGGATTTTATTTCATAATAAGTATGCAAACAATTAGTAAAACACTTGCACGTGCTTAACTACCACTTGTTATATTCTTAGTGTGTAAGAATCATTAGTATAGTGTTAACAGTTAATAATAATAAATATCTTCGTGCTGGATCGTTTGTTTTATTTGACCAGATTTAAGTCTTTAAATACACTACTGTGCCGTTTAAAATAAAGTGATCCAAAGTATTATAGTGTCGAATTCAATTTCATAACATCCTTTTATTCAAATTTGTTATTTGTATAACCATCTGTTACATAGACATATTAGTAATCTCAAATTTGTTTGATTAAACGTAATGATTCACTAGGAATGCTTCTTAATCATGCTAATACATATCGAAGGTCGAAACATACTTTTCGACCGACTGAAAGAGAATAAATTATTTTTTCGATTTGTCTTTACCAAATTCTAATACCTTTTCTTCCATTTGTATTATACGATTCACCATATCCTGCTTCGCTCTCAAGAATTCTGCTTTCTGGTGTCCATCAGTTAATTCATCTTTCAAGGAGGAATTGTTAACCTGAAATGAATAATTATTAGAAATTTTACAACGACAGTTAAATTTTTTTCTTTATCACATGTGTATTTTATTTCTCTTCATTATATATTTAATATATTAAATATATTTACAAAGAACAAAAACTTTTAAAAAAAGAATACTTTTCTAAATTCTGAATAAAAATAAAATAATCGAATAATTAGTAAATAAAAATTATTTTATAAATGAAGATTAATCTAAAATACAATAGAATAAATAATAACTTTTTTGTTTAAACCGAAGAAAATTGAGTTTGAAAATTCTTCGAATATATGTAAATTCGACCAATTTCTAACCAAATGTGTTCAATGTCTGTTTCAAACTTAGTTTTCTTTAAAATATAATTTCAAGCTAAAAAATTGTATTTAACATTTTTGCATACATATTTGTATATTTTTATGTATAAAGTAACTTCCTATAATTCAGTTTATATCATTTATAAACAGAAACATAAATGTTGAAAAATAAATAATACTATTATAATAAAAATTGTTATTGAATGTAATTATGTCGCTACTGTAAATATTTATCCGCCATAATTAAATAATAATTAAAATCATGTAAATAAAAATACACGTAATATGAAATATAAAATTGAAATTAAAAAATAATTACCACAACAATTGTAAAATAACATATTTATAAATTAAAATTCAATCTTTTTAACAATGGAATGGATTAAAATTTCTTAGGATAGAATATCATGGAATATGAAATGTTACAAAATAAAATGGTAAAACGAGGTAGAAAATGTGTCAACATTTTCGTTTATTATGCAATTGAAAAAAAAACAGTAATAGTAAATTGATTATGTTACGCGTTATATTTTGAATCAATAAGATGGCAGTGATACGATATTGATTGAAGATAATGCGTAATAACATGTGTTATCACATGTATATGTGCGTAAAACATCGGTACCGAGTTAAAATTAAACGCAATTATCTGAAAACAATTGCATCAGTAATTATACCATTTATGTTTAGTGGGACAGAGAAGACAATGCGATTATTAAATGGACAGGGAGCTATGAAAATATTATATGTACGAGTAGCCATTCTTAATTTTTTAAGAATGTATTTTAAACTGTTATTTTTTTTGTTGCTAGTCACTTACTTACAATTTGTCTCGATTCTTGTAATTTATTTATTACTTATCATGATTAATATATATTTTTAAATAATTAATATAGAATTATTCTCATTAATTTGAATATATACTAATAATAATTGATAAAATTGAATAGAAAATGTTTATGAAAAAATTTTATTTATATTTTTTTTTGTGAATTTTTCAAAACTTTTATTATCAATGCAGATTTTTTTGTTCTAATATTAGAATTTTTGCATCGTTGAATAAGATTTTAGAATACTTTACCTTTTGAATGCGTTTAACTTCGGCTTCTAAATCTCGTATTTTCATGGTGGCTTGTACCAATTGTTCTTGCAACTGTCGTACGTGGTTCTGATTTTTCGAATTTCGATTTTTCGCGGACGGTGGATCCCAAAAAAATACTTCGCCCTCATCATCTTGATTATTATCGTTCTGCAAAGAACAGATCATTGAAATTATAAGTAATAGTTCGAATCCAGCATTTTATTTATTTTTTTGGCAAAAGCTCATAACAAATAATTCTTTTCCAATCTATTAAACGTAATATACATCGAAGATATTATAAATTTCTCAATCGACATATTTTACATATTACATATTATATTTCTATTAAATAAACATAATTGTAAACAACTTCGATGATTAATCGTTATTTCATGATATATTCATATCATGCAATGTCTCGATGTAAGATAAAATTATACAGGAGCCAGCATTATATCAAAGAGATAGAATTAAAAAAAAATTCACAAAGATCTTTTAAATAGATCCCGATGATCTTTCGAAAGCAAAATACGCATTAATGCATCGGTGCATCAGCAAACACGTGGTTCGATTGAAAATTCAAGTGGCAATTCTTACGAAAACGAGCGATAATTCGCAAGATACACACACAAAAAAAGTGTCACACGTGTTTTAGTCACAAAAAAATATTATTATTTATCGAGACGAATAGATCGGCAAATCGTAACGTGCCATGACATTTCAATGGCCATGTCGGATACGAGTAATTTTTATCGGAGAGGAAGTTCGCGATTATATCGCGTAAAAAATACTGGAGATCATTTTTCGAACTTGCATTGAGTAACTTATGAATTTCAGAAAAATATTAAAAAATCGTATCGTTATTAATATAACAACAAACAATTTATTAAGTTTTCCCCTAAATTATCACATAATTAGATCTTAAGAAATTTCTGATGATGAAATTTAAATAATTAATTAAAATTAAAATAACAAACGTATATTTTTAAAAGAAATCACGATCAATGTATTTTAAGGAATTAATTTCAAAATATTCTTTATTTATACAAATATAAAAAGTAAAATATTTAATAGAGATACATTGAGTAATAAATGTTATTGACAATGAATGATTAATCTGCTTTAAGATATTGATAAATTGAATTACACTTTTGTTTATTCAGTAAACTAAAAGGAGAGAGAATATATAAATAAATAAAAATTTAGAAATAATTAAGCATTTTGATGAATGTAATTAATGCTTTATATATTTTAACTATCTTTTCGAATAAATATTTTAATCAGAACTTTTCTGTTCTGTAAATATATGAATTTAGCTATTTGCTTTTTGAAATTCAAATATTTAACGAACGTATCCAAAGTATAAATAAGTTTTCCATTTTTATAATTAGTAAAAACATACAGATATTTTTATAAAATTAATATTAATCTGATTGTAAATACAATGGATCCATTGATGAATGATATTGATATTTAACTTCCATCATTAAATATATACAATATATAATAGATATCCTAAATTCATCAATCCAATTGTCAAAACACTGCACATGAATCGTGCCACATTGACGTTTCTCTGCAACTTTTTGACTCGAAGCAGGATGTGACCGACTGGTAAGCAACGTATATGATTACTAACTTATGATTGTTACACAGGTTTACATAAGTATCTCGTATGCCAATGAACAATGCAACCTAGCATAGACGTTGTTGTTGCGACCATGGTCTCGTGCGAAAGGAGAGAAGAGAGAAAGAGAGAGAGAGAGAGAGAAAACTGGGAAAAAAATAAAAAAGAGCGGGGATGGACGCACTTATGCAATCGAAATTATGATCAGTCTCGTTGAGGAAGAGAAAGAAAAAACGATATTGAAGGCACATTCGGTTTTTCAAATTGCCCGCACCCGATGCGGGAAAGGATGTCAAGATTTTACGGTGAATTGAGACCTTATAAAAGCCTTGTCATTCCATAGAAATTGCCTCGATTATGTAACCCCTCGTGTACTCTCTCACGTGTTCCATGCATATTTCGCCTGTTGTTTTTATCTATGCAAAAGCCGATCGGATATCTCAATTTAATTCAATTCGCACCGCCAGATACGGTAAATTAAATTTGTTATTGAAAACGCGTGTTGGATAAATTGCAATCTCGTTTCCTTTTTATCTCAGTTATTATTTCTTTCTTTTCTTTTCCCTTCTTTTCAAAGTTGTTACGGTTCGAAGTTTGTTCGATTGTATTTCATGATATAAATATAATGGGTCCTTTAAATAGTTTTGGAACCGAGGATCGTTGAACGAACGGGTTGTATTCGCTTGTGTGCCTTTTGTTTTTTGTTATTTTATCTATTTAATAATTTTTATATTTGAAATGAGGACGGTTAAAAGAGTTTATATATTTGTTTTCAATTGTCGAGGAAACTAGGTTATTGATAAGCTAACTGAAAGCTTTTTTTCTTTTGAATTTATATTTTTATTTATTTATTTACGATGAATCATTGTATATATAACGTAAAAGAGATAGATATTTCAAAATTTAAAAATTTTTTCAATTTGTTTAGTGAAATTATTTTATTAAATAGTGCAGGGATAATAATTTATTTTTAAAAATATATTTATTTTTTTATTATTTCCCATATGATAGATAATTGTCACATTCAAAGTGAAGATAAAAATTTAAAATGAAATACGAGTGAATTTATATTTATTTCTATTAATAGTTAATAATAATTGAATAATAATGTGTATATCTTTCATTGTCTATCGTTCTCTATGTAATAAATATGTAATAATGTATAATTATATATTTCAAACACGAAGAAATATCAGATGATTGAATAATTTCAAACCTAAATAATATAAACCATACAGAAATAATTTAATAAAGTCAGATTTAATAACTTACAATAACTTCATGAATAGAAAAATAATTCAAAAGTGAGTCATGAAAGTTTATAATGCGTTGAACTATAACTCGTTTGAGAAGAAGGGAAAAACAATTGTCTCAAAACTTACAATGCCTCGTTAATGAACGCCACATCCAATTTAAATTGTAAAACAGATTATTGTGAAAAAATTTACAGGGACACTCGTAAGAATTGTTTCAAAAAACGTGGAAATTCCTTTGGTCAAGAGTCAATAGAGAGAAATAGCTTGTCAATTGATTCGAAAGTCCTTCGTCATGCATTACCATAATTCTATACAAATTATTCAATGGGTTGTCATTGTGTCCACGCATAACCCTGACAAAAGACTACAAATAGGTTTTTAACCTACCATAAGTTTCTCCCATCTCGACAGGGGAAGCAAAGATTCATCTTTCGACCGGGCTTTATGCTGCCCAAAGTTCTTTCATCTAAAAGTCAATTCTTCGCCTATTCCAAACAAATCGTTTTCTTCTTTGCCACCATATTAAAAAAGAATAGCGCAAAAGTTAGGCAAAAATGTATTGTATATGGGGTGTTGATGATAATTCATACAATATTTTTGGAGAATTGATCTAGAGACCAAATCGAACACAAACGTTAGCGTGCAAAAATATCGATTGAAATTTATTTATAAGATTATAAAACAATTGAAGTTTGCATTAGATGAAATGAGATAGAACGAGATAATTATATCTTCGTCACAGCGCCATCTTATTCCGTCTTTTGTCTCGCTTTATCTAAAGCAAACTTGAATTGCTTACAATTAATTATAATAATTGCTTTAGTGATTGTTTTAACCTTTAAAATCGATTCTCTCAATATTTTATGAATATTAACGCTCTGTATATTCTTGTTATAGTTTTTTGAAAAAAAGAGCTCGTACAAAGTAATTAATTTAATGAGTTGTAATTTTTCCACAGTATTAACGTTGAAGAATCATATAACGTGTATCTAACACATCTTTGGAAAATTGATTCAATATAAAGAAAAAATTATAATATTCAATGAAAAATTATTAATTATTGTTATGTAAATTATAATGATACGTATTTAGTTGTATTTTTTGTTTAAATTTTCCAAAGATTGATACGCAAAAAGACGGAATATTTTCATGATTTTTCTTGTCTTTTTTTGTGAAGTAATTTGAATAAACAAAAATCAATTCGTCGATGCATATGTTGGAACAGTTTGGTGTCGCATCGTTGCATATTATTCATACGACCCTCTCAGATATGCGACTGATACTGAAAAGCTTTCGATGCACACTGTCGAAATGGTAATCGATGCACGCGCGTTATGCATCTGTCTTGCCTGCCTTCGACTGATATTTTTTTAAATCGATCCTGTCCGCGATAAACAGTCCTTTTGCCCCCGGAATATAACCCCGATTTTACCGTGGACAAAAAAAAATAATTTAAATAATTTTTAATTTCCCTTTTTCCAATAATGTGAAAATGTAAAATTGTTGCATAATCTTGTAATACATCAATCTTCTTAAACGATTGTGTGTTTCCCTAATTAATTTGAATTCTAAAAGTTTCACTATTATCTATTAAAGAAAAAAAAAGAAGAAGAAGAAGAAGAAGAAGAAGAAGAAGAAGAAGAACAAAATATAATTCTTTTCTTCTTAAATTTTGATTCGATCTTTAATAGAAAGAAACATAATTTTCTCATTTTATATCAACACATCTCGTGTATATATCATCATTCTCATACCAATTACTGATTATCGCAATTTTATTATCTTGTTTAAAAATAATATTCTTCGAGATACGAATCGACAGGTGAAGAATAAAAAAAAAAAAAAAGAACGCGCCTATTTTTAAAAATAACCAGGACAAAATATGTCAGAAAAAAGCAGTTGCGTGAAAAAAAAAAAAGTTGGGTTGAAACATTGTATTCTTACAAACATGCAGGCGCCTCGTGCCCAAAGGGGAGCGCAACTCTAATGAATATGAAAGGAGTCTCCGTTAGGTCAGGTCAAGGAATAATGCATCGTTTGACTTGCATACAATCTTACACGACAAAAGTTTCCTTTTCTTTTTTTTTTCTTTTTTTTCTTCCATTACAGTCTGTTTATACATTTACTTCATCTTGAACATACGATATGTTAAGATTGACAGGGAGAAGATCCCAGGGTCGTTTGAAAAAAAAAAAAAGAAAAATGCAACATAATTTATGCATCGAACTAAGGGCTCGTTCAATTCCATGATTGATATATTTTTCATTTATTATTATCATGGTAAAACATTAACCTTTTTCAAAAGAGCGTATAACATTAAGAGATGTGTTAATTTACTTCACATATATTTATGATTATATGAATATCAGGTTTGTGAAATTATTTCTTTGATATTTTATATCAAAGAAGTTGATTGTATTTCTTATATTAAAATTTCTAATATTAAAAAAATTTCTTATGTTATTAAAATTTTTTCTATTTATCGAAATGGAAATATTATTTTTAAAACCAAAAAATCAGAAGAGGAGTAAATAAAAAATTATTATATGTGAATAATATAGATATTTTAATTAGACTTTAATTCATTATTGTATTAAATTCTATTTTAATTTTAATTCATGGAGACAAGCGTTTAATTATATATGGAAATACATGGAAATATATATTGGAACAGCAATTTCCAGTATTTCGTTACAATTTCAATATTTTTCAATATCATCAAATTTCTGATATTTAATTTCTACAATATATTTTTATTATAAAATTGAATCAACAAAAAATTTATTATATGTCCATATGTTCATCATTGAACTCATACAAAGACGTATAAAAAATAAATGAATAAATAAATAAACGGTAATTTGCTTAAAAATTTTGTTTTTCATCTCTAAAAAAAAAAAAAAAAAA